GGGGGGGGGTTTCACCTCAGTTGAGATCTTTACAGCAAGCCTCTCATGCACATTTTACAGCTGCCCCACTAATGATCGGCGGTAGAAAAAGGAACAAAAGCGCACGTTGTGATAAACAGCGTGTGATGAGTATTCACAGGATCGACGAAACAATCAGTAGATGATCCATGAGGATTTAAAAAAAAAAAAAAAAAAAAAGCGGCATGCACTTTTTTTTTTCCAAATCAGACGCAATCACGCCTGCATATTAAATTCAGAGAAAAAACAAGCAGCGAGATCCATGAAAAATTGATCAATAGAAACAGTAGAAAGCAATTAAAAGTGTGCATTCTATGTGGTTCGCGGTTGGCCATCGATACTTCACATAACTTCGGAGGAGAGGAATCAGACTTTCAAATTCATTCTGCAAAATGAAAGATAAGCTCACTGAGTCTTTACGTGCTATGTTTGTAGGCTCTGCAATAAAATATACAGTGTATGTAATTTCTTTTTTCAAACATACTAATAAAGCCAGTTCATTCTGTTGCGTGTCTATTGTGGTCTCTTGTGAAAAAAAAAATGTGATCACAGAACTGGAAAGGGAACAAAGCGTCACAGTACATCACAGTTAAGCGTAAGTAAACAACTCTTTTTATTGATCTATTCAAGATTTATGATACAGCAGTTGACTTTTTTTTATAGACTTCCTTAAAACGCTATCTCTCAGTCACACATCTCAGCGCGAGATGTGTTTCACTTGACTTTTATATTCAGTTAACAGATGTACAGTGTGCAGTGCTCCAGGCTGCTCCTATTGGTCACGTTTTGCCCTTAAAAGATGAAACAATGCAAGTACATTTTTCATCCGCTTGCACCAGCGAACCCTGTAATGGGCCAAAAGGTCAAGATGGATTCATACTCATGCAAGGCATGATTATTTCATATTTTGCAACCTTTACTCTTTTTTTTTTCCTTGGATCCCCTTGTTTTTTTTTTAAGATATCCCAGTAGATGGAAAATACTTGTGCTGTTTAGGTTGAATATGATCAATAAAAATTCAAGTGAAACAATGTGTTTTTCGATTAGAATGGGTGCATTCAGTGAAGGACGAAGGGCGGGGGGGCACAGGCTGTAAGCTACCGACGATGAATAATTCAAATCATTATCATGAATAAATGAAGGTAATTAGCCTGCATGAAGTAGCAACTTGTGATTCAACACTCACATGAGGCAACAATGGCGAGTGTGTCCTCCCCCCTTCCCAGAGTCAACAGGGACGGTTACCTACTTTGATAGGAAACCAAACATCACCAACAAAAAATAACAATCAAGAGAACCACTTATTAGGGCTCCGACGATTAGTGTCTTTGAGCGTGTGGATATATACGATTGGGAGGTTGCGGGTTTTGGGGAAGATGTGTGACTGAAAAGCTTTTGTGGGGACTCCCTGAACAGCCTATCCTGATCTGGCCAAGAGCTGCGCAGGATAAAAGAGAGGCAAGAACAGTCACCATCATCATCATCATCTCTTTTGTTGCCCATCTGCCGTATTAGCTGTTCCACCATTCTCTTGATAAGCTTAAACCCCCCCCCCCCCCCCCCCCCCTCCCACGGGGGGAACCCCAAACGTGCCCGCTTTCCCATTCAATTAGAAATGCTCTGCTCCCGAGACGCGACTGTGTCTACTTTCCCGCTTTCAAAACACACACACACACACACACACACACACACACACACACACACACACACACACACACACACACGCAC